AGATGTTCGTCCGACAACTAGTGGCATTTGTACATTCGTTATAGACGCGCAAAAGATCTTCTGACAAATATCTATTTATCACATTTTGCTATGTACTCATGTATACAGATACTATACATGTGTGTGATGGTTTACCCTGGTTTATGGAGCCTGAACACATTAAAAGAATGAAAATGCACATATTTACGTCTCTATCGAACACTCACAGGCTCGGTCGTACTACAATGACCTGGCCAAGGACATGATCGACAGCCAAATGGAAAGCGATGGCGCATTACCCGATGAGTTATCGCGCACGAGACCTACCCATTACGTGGCATATTGTCTCGCTGCGTTTGCGCACATGGCTCATCTGGGTGCGGAGAGCGGCAGTAGTATGGACATATGGGGTATGTACCAAGTGTACATATACAAATACAATATGTCTAAACAAAAGTACATATCTGTGTACGTTTTTTTTGTTCGTAGCGCGTATACCTATGGTTATATAGAAAAATGTGTCTCGTAGTGTGATGTCTAGCTGCGTTTGCGCACACGGCTCAGCTGGATGCCGAGAGCGGCAGTAGTGTGGACATATATGGCGGGTGTATTAGGCACAGATGTACAAATATATTAAATATATATATACATATACTAATATGTACATGTACATGTAGGTTTGGGGTAAAGCTTTGCTACTATACAGAAATGTGCTAAGTGGTTTACTGGCTCACTGCGTTGCCGCACATGGCTCAGCTGGCTGCGGAGAGCGGCAGTAGTGTAGACGAATGGGGCGTGTAACAAGTATTACGATACGTATATTAATATTCAGCATTATATACATTTCTGCATTCTTTTATTATCACAGTGTATTGTCCGAATCGAGCTAAGCATCAAGTGCGGGTACACGGCATCTCGTGAGGTTGTCTAGGGTCCAAGGTGTATAGTGTGTGTACCTATATATATATATATATATATATATGTATATATATATGTACATATACTGTTCATACTTTGTCCACTAATACATATACAAGCAAGCCGCGTGATGTGACACAGTACGTAGTTCAAAGTTCAAGTACATGAGCAATCGGATCTGTAAAATCTTGAAAAATTGGATTTGGAACAAAGGTAAATGTTTACCTACATGTCCTTTTGGTCAAATACTCTCGGATTGACCAGTTGGGTTAAATACATCCGACTAACTATCGGAACTATCTCACAAAATATTTAGGCCTGGATGAGAAACGGTCTATCGAACTTGGACTGGAGTGGGCGCTGCCGTACGCCACCACAGACCTTACCTTCCCGTATGACGAAATAACCGTAGTCACCGAATGGACTGGAGACTACGGCCTTGAAGACGCAGCATGGCTACTGGCCTACCACAAATACAGTGACGAGTGGAAGGATAGAGCACTGGATATCAATCCGAAATTCAAAGAGAGCTACAAATGGCTTGTTTTCCCCGATCGATCGGCCGAGTGAGCTTGCACAAGAACTGTACTAGGCGTTAGACATTAATTTGAGATGTACGATGGTTTAGGATATATAATGTCTCAATGTTCAGTTTAGAATACGGGGCTAGATCTTATGTTTCAAAAACCAATCTAGGAACATTTTTTTATTTAAGAAAAGCTTTGAGCAAGTGACGCTAATTCGGGATGCGTAGCATTTCAATTGTGATTGAGAATATACACAATCGGCAAGAGAATCCAATTCGGGAGGAACGAGTGATCGATTCGAGATTCATTGCAAATCAGATGCACTGCATAGCAATGTTGAGAATACAAGAGACACTAATTCGGGAGTTAAAATACACCTCTGCACGGTAAAAGAGATACAATTTTGGGTCTAGCAAACATTTCAATCCGGACGCAAGAAGAAGGCTCACCCCGGTATTCAGAAAGGATTGATAAACGTTTGGAATTGAGCCTCCTTCCCGGATGATTACAACATCTGCAGGCGGACCTTGAGGCCTCTGTTGTTAATTGAAAAAGTACGACCAGAACTGTCTACACTGAACTGACGATACACGCTGGTTGTATGTTACAAACGTACTACTAAAACCGTCTACATTAAAACTGATAATAAAAGCTGGTAGTATGTTAAAAACGTACGACCAAAACCGTCTACATTAAACTGATAATAACAGCTGGTTGTATGTTAAAAATGTACGACCAAAACCGTCTACATTAAACTGATAATAAAAACTGGTTGTATGTTAAAAACGTACTACCAAAACCATCTACAATGAACTGATAATAAACACTGGTTGTATGTGTATCACATGTCTCTTTGAGATGAGCTTATTTGTTACAACATCTGCAGGCGTTGAGGCCTCTGTTGTTAATTAAAAAAGTACGACCAAAAGCGTCTACATTGAACTGATAATAACAGCTGGTTGTATCTGTATCACATGTCTATTTGATTCTTAAGCTTTTTTTACGTATCCGAATGCCATGAATAGATTGTGTGCTTTGTTTATTTTATCATTTACATTGTGTATTGGCATGTCGTTTTGTATGCTTGAGTTATCTTCTATAATCAGTTTTGTTATAGTGAAAACCAATAGCTAATGGAATCGAACTGATAGACATCGTTGCGGTACTTGATTGTCGTCTGACATACTTGTCTCCTTCTGAACTTTCTGTCGGTGTTGTCATTCCACTCCACGCGTATATATACAACTTACATACAGTAAATCGAGTACATGTACAACTTACAAGTATTAAGCCCCATCAGTCGATCTAGAGAGAGATTTAACTTGCATGTGCGACCACTTAAATGGAATAGAATAAAAATGTAGTGTGTTGATTTGCGATTTGTATCAAAAACGGTCAGGCTACCATTCATAACGCTTACAATATTTGTACAATGAGCCTAAATCCTAGCACATATCCCTAATTATACTGATTATTACTATTTATTCCAATGGTTTGGAGAGCTTTGTGTCCAAATAGTACAAATGGTACTGATGGTAGTCTCCAAAAAGGTTCTTTTATACACAGCGTCATGTGATCAAACTCATTTTCAATTGACACAAAGACATAGATATGTGATTTATAGGAGTACCTCAAGAGGCATCTCCTCTATTTTCGCGCGTTTGTTGCCATGCTTCCGCCATTCCAAATTCCCCTAATCCTTGCATAGATATATACAGATCTTCCTGATAGCACTCTAACAGTTAGCTCTACGGGTGCCGAAAAGTGTGTACTGGGGCTCGCTCTATCATAATTTGGACACTTGGCATATGCAGAGGTATTCCTCTCAGGAAAAACGTACAAAAATCCGTGCAATTAAAAGCCCAAATCTCGTTGGTTGTATGTGTCGGTCACTTTACTATAATCTATTGACTTACAAAGTACTCAACTCCTGTTGTATCGGTTGCCAAGACCACTGGGGTTATCTGCGCGAATAAAAGTGGACAGAGTTGTGTACAATTTAAAACATATTTAGTGACTTCTGTCTATTCAATGGATCCGCGTATCTTAGAAAGGCTTAGGAAGATGTAAAACTACAGCTTATTCGCCGAATTGGGACATTTCACATAGGTCAGCTTTTCAGTAAAGAACTAATCAACTGCATATACGAATCGACTACAAACGTAAGATAGATGAACATGCAACACAAGTGTACCAGTTCACTTAATATACGAATCGGGTTCAAACGTGCAGGCACGCGACACGAGTGTACATGAGTGTATTTTTAGCCCATGTTGGTGTTAAAAATACGACCTGACAACACTACTTGTCTTTGTCTTCTATAAAACCCAATCAAGAGAAAGACATACAGCATGTGGAACTATGGGGGCTAAAAATTCACATCATAAACCGCGGATAGTTGATTCGAGCAAGCATGGTGTCTCTGGCCTCATCAGTTCAATATAGATTAAAACCTCGACCATAATACAGATTTATCTCCGATAAAAAGGAAACATACCATCTGTATAAGCATCCCAATTGCGCTTTTTATAGACATCCAAATCTTCAGCCTGATATCCCGCGGTTGTGTCGTCTTCACCTGCCGGCACCACAATGGGCATCTTTGTATCATGCCTATATTCGCGTGTGCATAGGTATGTTCACAAAATCCATGAGCGAATTGCATTTTTTTTGTATCGAGATATGAGAAAATGTATTCAACTCAAAAAAGAATGCAAGTACCTTCGAAACAGACTATAAATATCACTCGCCGACGATAAACCTTTACAGGTATGGATAGCATGTGCTTCGTTTCGGCGCCAGTGTTGTGACTACGACGAAAAGTGCTGGGTACACAAGTACCTATATATACTATTACAGCAACAATCGGCAATATATGGCCAAATATGAAAAAATACGCACCCATGTCAACACACGCGTACAACTAAATATGCACCCTTCTTCGCATCGTCTATGGTCATTGCAGATTACGTTAGATCGCTCCACAAAGATGTGTAAGAATATATATGTGCACGTACAATTATGCACACTGAAATTGAAATAAATCTGCATTTAAGCCTTGGCCCCAGTGCTTGCCGGGTTGTGTATCACGGCAGCCTATATATATATATATAAATATATATATATATACTTATACACACACACACACACACACACACACACATATATACTTCTACACACACACACACAC